TGAAAAGAAAGAAATGCAGTGGAAGTTGTGGAAAGACTCTTTGCTGGAGCTTGAGCGATTTAGCATCCAAAGACCATACGTCTCTGTTTCTTTGTCTGTTACAAAACGAAGAGAGATACACGTGTTTTCAGATGCATCCACCGTGGCTATAGCAGCTGTAGCCTACCTTAGAGTCATAGACACTCAGGGACAAAGCCATGCAGGATTCATCTTGGGAAAGTCCAAACTGGCTCCAAGACCTGCTCACACAGTCCCACGCTTAGAACTTTGTGCTGCTGTCCTAGCTGTGGAGATAGCAGACTTACTCATTGCTGAACTGGACATCGAGATCCATGCAGTGAACTTCTACACAGACAGCAAGATTGTTTTAGGTTATATCCACAACGCTTCAAGAAGATTCTACACATACGTGTCAAACAGAGTAACACGTATCAGAAAGTGTACAAGTCCAGAACAGTGGCATCACAATCAGTACAGACAAGAACCCTGCTGACCATGGGACTAGACTGGTACCAGCTGCTGTCCTCAAACAGACTAACTGGTTCACAGGTCCATCCTTCTTGACTGGACCAGAAACTGAAGAGAGACTGATCAGAAAGGAACTTTTCAGCTTGTAGAACCAGACCAAGACAAAGAGGTAAGACCTCTAGTTGCAGTTTACAAGACTCTAACCACCAGAGAAGGTCTTGGCTCATGTAGGTTCGAAAGGTTTTCCAGCTGGAAGTCACTCATCCGTGCCATAGGGAAACTCATCTGCTTGGCCAGAGGGATCCTTCAGCAAAACAGCCAGTGTTGACCAGGGTAACAATGACTATCTTGAGCAAGCCAATGTCACCATTATCAGATGTGTTCAGCAGGAAGCCTTCAAGGAAGAAATTCAAGGTCTTCTCAAGAAAGAAGAACTTTCTAAAACACAGCCCGCTCAGAAAGTTGAACCCTGTCCTTGATGAAGATGGAGTGATGAGACTTGGAGGTCGTCTACCCGCAGCTGATACGACTATTTTAGAAAAACATCCCATTGTCATACCCAAGAATCATCATGTTGCCGTTCTTCTGACAAGACATCACCACGAGCAAGTTGCACATCAAGGTCGCCACCTCACTGAAGGAGCAGTCCGCTCAGCTGGATTGTGGATCCTAGGAGGTAAAAGACTAGTCTCCAGTGTGATTAACAAATGTGTAACTTGCAAGAAAATCAGAGGAAAGCTTGAAGTCCAGAAGATGTCAGACTTACCTCCAGACAGGCTGGCTTCAGATCCTCCATTCACAAATGTGGGCCTGGACGTTTTTTTGGTCCTTGGAACCTTTCTTCTCGCAAGACCAGAGGCGGCAGTGCAGAGAGCAAACGCTGGGCTGTTCTTTTCTCGTGTATGAGTACCTGAGCAGTTCACATTGAGGTAATTGAGTCTCTATCTACCTCAAGCTTCATCAATGCCTTGAGAAGATTTTTCTCCATTCGAGGACCAGCAAAACAGATTCGTTCTGATTGTGGCACAAACTTTATTGGAGCCTGCAAGGATTTGAAGATCGTTGCAACAGACTCAGAGACAAGTAACTATCTTCAAAACCAAAGATGCACTTGGATCTTCAATCCTCCTCATGCCTCACATATGGGAGGAGCTTGGGAGAGGATGATTGGAGTAGCTCGCCGCATTCTAGATGCAATGCTTCTAAAGATTGGATCTACTCGTCTCACACACGAAGTCTTAACCACGCTGATGGCTGAAGTCATGGCTATCATGAACGCCAGACCTTTGGTCCCAGTGTCTACTGACCCAGAGATGCCAACCGTCTTGACACCAGCAATGTTGCTGACCCAGAAGATGGAGATGGTGACAGCTCCCAACGGGGACTTTGATCTTAAAGACTTGTACACCAAGCAATGGAAACAAGTTCAAAGCCTTGCCGATATCTTCTGGAAGAGATGGAGGCAGGAGTACCTGACGACCCTTCAACCACGCAACAAATGGCAAGACGACAAGCCCAACTTACAAGTTGGAGATGTTGTTCTACTAAAAGACTCTCAGGCCCACAGGAACGAGTGGCCAATTGGACTCATTGTGGGGACTGATGCTAGTAGTGATAGCAGAGTCAGGAAAGTAGAGGTCAGAGTAGTAAAAACAGGGCACCCCTAAGGTGTACCTTAGACCCATCACGGAAGTCGTTTTACTCCTTCCAAGAGTTTAATAGTGGCATATCATTATTATGCCAGGTGGGGAGTGTGCTGCCTTGTATTACACAAGGCATTCTTTAGCATTCAGCAGTGTCTGTCCCTTTAAGGCTAGGTACGTCCTGTTTGCTAACTTGGGAGGAAGTGACCTCATCTCTTCAGACTGAAGAAATTCTACAATGCAAGTACATGTGGGATGCTGTTCCCTCTTCATATATGGGCTTGATTAGACCCCCAAAGTCTGTAAGTACCCTTCCTATATACTGAGGAATGTTATGCACATAGCTAGGAAGTTAGATATGTACTTATGTTTGTTTATTCTGTTTGTATTTCAGTTTTACCGCATTTGTTCACATTCGCGCATTTATTCACATTCATCCGCATTCTCATTATGTCACATGTTATCAGTAAAAGATCATCGGTTATCAATCATCGACTCTTTACTGTGCGGACATCAAAGGTTATACTGCCTGTAATCCTCTGTAACCATTTCATAACTGCAGAGAAGGCAGGACATGTGGAGAGACTCACGTTTGTGAAAATGAATCAGGCGTGGATTAGTCTGGATTTCAAACCACCAGTTCCTGACACAACTGACTAAATCCGCCATGAATCATGCCCCAAACATGTGCCACTTTCAGGTCTCCTCACACTGCTGGTGTGTTCCATTTTTTTGTCATAGGGTGCTGGCAGATTACGGGCCTCCCATAGCTGCTGCCAGGCCCCTAATCTGCCATGGGCCCCTATACCGCCTCCTCATGCTGCTGCGAAGTCCAGAGTCTCTCATGGGCCCCTGTACCGTCTCCTCATGCTGCTGCCAGGTCCATGCGAACGTAGTCACACAGGGGAGGAACTTCTCAGTATAATGAACAGAGAAATCGACAGATGGCTGTCTCCGCGCAAACTGAAAATCGGAACCATGTTGACCGACAACGGAAAGAACATGGTGTCTGCTCTGCGTCAAGGAAGGTTGTGCCATGCGCCATGCATGGCTCACGTGTTCAATCTGGTTGTCAAGCGGTTCCTAAAATCCACCATCCCACTGCAAGACATCCTTAAAATGTCACGTAAACTTTGCATGCATTTCAGCCATTCCTACACCGCAAAGCACACCCTCCTTGAGCTGCAGCGGCAGAACGAATTCCACAGCATCGCTTGATCTGCGACGTTGCAACAAGGTGGAATTCAATCCTACACATGGTAGACCGCCTTTACGAACAGCGAAAGGCCATTACCGATTTCCTGATGTTACAAGCGGATAAAGGTACTCCCCTGTGTAACTTCGATGTCAGCCATTGGCAGCTCATGCGTGACACCTGCCGCTTGCTCAGGCCCTTTGAGGAGGCCACGCTATTCGTGAGTCGGCAGGACTATGGGATGAACGACGTCATTCCTCTGTTGCACGTCCTGGAACAAATGCTGTTAACAATGGCTGGTCAGGGTGCGGTAGACGTGGCGCACAAATCTCAAACATCTCCTCCACATGACCCCTGTGGGGGCAGGACAGGAAGAAGAGGAGGAGGTAGAGGAGGACATTTGTGCTCAGGAATTATTGAGTGAAATGGGTGGTTTTTCCACTCAGCGAACAGGAGTGGAGGAGCAGGAGCATCTGGTAGAGGAGGAGGAGACAGAGGACCCAGATGCACCGTGGCAGTATGCTGTGGAGATGGAGGCAGGGAGTCCCTCGCATTCCTTGGCACAAATGGCCCATAGCATGCTCGCTTGCTTGCGTAGCGACAGCCGAATAATAACCATCAGACAGAGGGATGACTTTTGGCTGTCCACCTTGTTGGACCCTCGCTACCGTTCAAAAATGGTGGCCTTTTTCACACCTGCTGAGAGGGAGGCCAAAATAACGTACTATAAAAACCACCTATGTAGTCAGTTGGTCTCTGCCTTTGTGCGCGCCAACGTCCATCCTCAGACACTGTGGGCCCTGTGCGCTCGCGTTCCGCTGCCATGGCAGCAAAGGGGGAGGGGTGGGGGTGGTAGGAGCAGTGGCAGCTCCACCAGCAGAGGCTGCCTCAGTCTGCAGTCGACGATGAGTAGCTTTCTTCACCAGCGCAGTGAGGAAACTACTAACCAGCCGCAGCAGCAGCAGCAGCATCAGGTGGACCTGGAGCAGGACCTCAAACAACAGGCTTGGGCCTGCTTGGACAGCACCCTGCCAACCGAGGTAGACAATCCCCTTGACTACTGGGCAACGAAACTTGACCTTTGGCCCCAACTAGCTGAATTTGCCCTTGAAAGGCTGTCATGCCCGGCCAGTAGCGTGGCATCGGAGCGCGTGTTTAGTGCGGCAGGAGGTATTGTAACTCCGCGGAGGACACGACTGTCCACCCAAAGTGTGGAGAGACTCACGTTTGTGAAAATGAATCAGGCGTGGATTAGTCTGGATTTCAAACCACCAGTTCCTGACACAACTGACTAAATCCGCCATGAATCATGCCCCAAACATGTGCCACTTTCAGGTCTCCTCACACTGCTGGTGTGTTTCAATTTTTTGTCATAGGGTGCTGGCAGATTACGGGCCTCCCATAGCTGCTGCCAGCCCCTAATCTGCCATGGGCCCCTGTACCGCCTCCTCATGCTGCTGCCAGGTCCAGAGTCTCTCATGGGTCCCTGTACGGCCTCCCATTGCTGCTGTCTCCATCGCCACACTCTGCCATGTGCCACTTTCAGGTCTCCTCACACTGCTGGTGTGTTCCATTTTTTGACATAGGGTGCTGGCAGATTACGGGCCTCCCATAGCTGCTGCCAGGCCCCTAATCTTCCATGGGCCCCTGTACCGCCTCCTCATGCTGCTGCCAGGTCCACAGTGTCTCATGCCATGTGCCACTTTCAGGTCTCCTCACACTGCTGGTGTGTTCCATTTTTTGTCATAGGGTGCTGGCAGATTACGGGCCTCCCATAGCTGCTGCCAGGCCCCTAATCTGCCATGGGCCCCTATACCGCCTCCTCATGCTGCTGCCAGGTCCAGAGTGTCTCATGGGTCCCTGTACGGCCTCCCATTGCTGCTGTCTCCATCGCCACACTCTGCCATGTGCCACTTTCAGGTCTCCTCACACACTGCTGGTGTGTTCAATTTTTTGACATAGGGTGCTGGCAGATTACGGGCCTCCCATAGCTGCTGCCAGGCCCCTAATCTGCCATGGGCCCCTATACCGCCTCCTCATGCTGCTGCCAGGTCCCAGAGTGTCTCATGGGTCCCTGTACGGCCTCCCATTGCTGCTGTCTCCATCGCCACACTCTGCCATGTGCCACTTTCAGGTCTCCTCACACTGCTGGTGTGTTCCATTTTTTTGTCATAGGGTGCTGGCAGATTACGGGCCTCCCATAGCTGCTGCCGGGCCCCTAATCTGCCATGGGCCCCTGTACCGCCTCCTCATGCTGCTGCCAGGTCCACAGTGTCTCATGCCATGTGCCACTTTCAGGTCTCCTCACACTGCTGGTGTGTTACATTTTTTGTCATAGGGTGCTGGCAGATTACGGGCCTCCTATAGCTGCTGCCAGGCCCCTAATCTGCCATGGGCCCCTATACCGCCTCCTCATGCTGCTGCCAGGTCCAGAGTCTCTCATGGGTCCCTGTACGGCCTCCCATTGTTGCTGTCTCCATCGCCACACTCTGCCATGTGCCACTTTCAGGTCTCCTCACACTGCTGGTGTGTTCCATTTTTTGTCATAGGGTGCTGGCAGATTACGGGCCTCCCATAGCTGCTGCCAGGCCCCTAATCTGCCATGGGCCCCTATACCGCCTCCTCATGCTGCTGCCAAGTCCAGAGTCTCTCATGGGTCCCTGTACGGCCTCCCATTGCTGCTGTCTCCATCGCCACACTCTGCCATGTGCCACTTTCAGGTCTCCTCACACTGCTGGTGTGTTCCATTTTTTGTCATAGGGTGCTGGCAGATTACGGGCCTCCCATAGCTGCTGCCAGGCCCCTAATCTGCCATGGGCCCCTGTACCGCCTCCTCATGCTGCTGCCAGGTCCACAGTGTCTCATGCCATGTGCCTCTTTCAGGTCTCCTCACACTGCTGGTGTGTTCCTTTTTTTGTCATAGGGTGCTGGCAGATTACGGGCCTCCTATAGCTGCTGCCAGGCCCCTAATCTACCATGGGCCCCTATACCGCCTCCTCATGCTGCTGCCAAGTCCAGAGTCTCTCATGGGTCCCTGTACGGCCTCCCATTGCTGCTGTCTCCATCGCCACACTCTGCCATGTGCCACTTTCAGGTCTCCTCACACTGCTGGTGTGTTCCATTTTTTGTCATAGGGTGCTGGCAGATTACAGGCCTCCCATAGCTGCTGCCAGGCCCCTAATCTGCCATGGGCCCCCGTACCGACTCCTCCTCATGCTGCTGCCAGGCCCGTAATCTGTCATGGGCCCCTGTTGTCGCTTGTTGGCATATTCCGCTCGTTCAGATGCTCCTTCTCCTGCTACTCCCTTTCACGGATTCCATCAGCAGTCTTTCTTGGAATCCGTTTCCAAGAGACAACAGTTTTGAGAGCACGCACCCAACAGTGCAGAAGCTGAACGTCCTCCTGTCCAAGTTGCTGCTGCCATGCTCGTAATCTGTCATGCGCCCCTGTACCGCCTCCTCATGCTGCTGCCAGGTCCAGAGTGTGTCATGGGCCCCCGTACCGACTCCTCATGCTGCTGCCAGGCCCGTAATCTGTCATGGGCCCCTGTACCGCCTCCTCATGCTGCTGCCAGGTCCAGAGTGTGTCATGGGTCCCTGTACGGCCTCCCATTGCTGCTGTCTCCATCGCCACTCTGCCATGTGCCACTTTCAGGTCTCCTCACACTGCTGGTGTGTTCCATTTTTTGTCATAGGGTGCTGGCAGATTACGGACCTCCCATTGCTGCTGCCAGGCCCGTAATCTGCCATGGGCCCCAGTACCCGCCTCCTCATGCTGCTGCCAGGTCCAGAGTCTCTCATGGGTCCCTGTACGGCCTCCCATTGCTGCTGTCTCCATCGCCACACTCTGCCATGTGCCACTTTCAGGTCTCCTCACACTGCTGGTGTGTTCCATTTTTTGTCATAGGGTGCTGGCAGATTACAGGCCTCCCATAGCTGCTGCCAGGCCCCTAATCTGCCATGGGCCCCCGTACCGACTCCTCATGCTGCTGCCAGGCCCGTAATCTGTCATGGGCCCCTGTTGTCGCTTGTTGGCATATTCCGCTCGTTCAGATGCTCCTTCTGCTGCTACTCCTCTTCACGGATTCCGTCAGCAGTCTTTCTTGGAATCCGTTTCCAAGAGACAACAGTTTGCGAGCACGCAGCCGACGGTGCAGAAGCTGAACGTCCTCCTGTCCAAGTTGCTGCTGCCAGGCTCGTAATCTGTCATGCGCCCCTGTACCGCCTCCTCATGCTGCTGCCAGGTCCAGAGTGTGTCATGGGCCCCCGTACCGACTCCTCATGCTGCTGCCAGGCCCGTAATCTGTCATGGGCCCCTGTACCGCCTCCTCATGCTGCTGCCAGGTCCAGAGTGTGTCATGGGTCCCTGTACGGCCTCCCATTGCTGCTGTCTCCATCGCCACACTCTGCCATGTGCCACTTTCAGGTCTCCTCACACTGCTGGTGGTTTCCATTTTTGTCATAGGGTGCTGTATGGCCTCCCATTGCTGCTGCCTCCACCGCCACACTGTGGCTCCACACTCTGGTTTTGGCCCCGTGACTGCCCAAATGAGTGAAGTGTGCGGTGATTCTAAGATCGACGGCACTCATCTGCATGTCATACTGACTGTCAGTATTATTTCTCTTCCCCAGCAGACTCCAAGGGCATTTAAATTAAAGGTACAGTGTTCTGCACTAATATAAAGGCTCGCTGAAGCCTAGAAACACCCTTTTATAAGTTAAATTCGCAGAGAATATATTCGACTCGAATCGAAATTTTTCCACGAATTCGCCGAATCAGTCGAATCGAATTTTTGAATACTTCGCTCATCTCTAATTATATGTATTATGATGTGTTTTACAGATATTATTGTTTTTATCTATATTTATGATTTATATTCATGTTTTGACTGTATTCGTCTTATTGAAATGTGTGTGCCACTGTGATTATCGGGTTTTATCATGATTTCATATTTGTACAAGAAATTATCAGCTTTCTATATCTATATATATACCAGTATGAGCTTGCACATGCGCAGTGGTGCGTTTTGCGACGGTACTCGTCAATCCCATTCTCATATGTGGGTTTTATTATTGATCGAGTCCTGGCACTGCTCATCTGTTTTTTATATAAATTTTCAGTGTTTATTTCCCATTTAAATTTGGTTTCCCTGGTGATTTAGTGACACACACCTATGGTTTTTAAAAATGGCGCCCGCGCATGTGAGATCAGGTCGGTCTCCGGCAAAATGGCGCCCGATATGGAGACATATCTCTTATAGAAAATGGCGCGTTCGTAATGCGCATGCGCCATTCACGTTATTTAATGGATACAGTCGGGAGCAGACGCTGAAGCTTATCCCCTTTGATGATGTGCGGTTAGCACGAAACGCGTCAGGGTAGGAGCTACAGCGTCACTATCTCTCTGCCGCCGGCACCACGGAGGTCCCGGCGGCCACCTTTCTATGCACCTCATGGTCAGTGATTGTTTGTTTTCCTATATCATACTGTATATGAAATAAATATTCCTTAAACGGTATCACGCTATTGGTCTCCTTTCTTTGTGGCCCTTGGTGAGTCACTCATCACCTATAGAGCCACCTAAGAGAGAGACCGTGGATTACTAGCAACATTCAGCGGATGGAGGAATATCCGGCCTGACCTGACCTTTTGAAGCCATTTGTGGATTTAGTGGAGATAATATATCTCTAAATACGCAGTTACACTGTGCATCTGGTGAGTGCACAGCCTTATCCTTTTCACGTTTTACTGCATGGAAGCAGCACTTTGAAGAAAAATAATTGTCACAAAGACTGGTTTTGCACCGCATGTCACTTTGCTTGTGATATAGCTCTTTTGTGATCACATTAATCACCTAAACCACCATATATTGATATTTTGGACAATTTATCTATAGCGCCGCATCTTTTATATTGTATGGTTTGTAAGGCTTTTTGGTATCCTTTTTGATGCTGTGGCTGCTTTTTGTTTTCATAGCGCTCACAACTTCTTTTATATATTTATACATAGATATACATTCACATTCTCTCTTGAGAAGAGGAGATTAAGGGGGGATATGATCAACATGTATAAATACATCAGTGGTTCATATAGTGAACTCGGTGTAGAGTTATTCACCCTGAGGTCATCACAGAGGACAAGGGGGCACTCTTTACGTCTGGAGGAAAAGAAATTTAATCTCCAAAAACGGAAAGGTTTCTTCACAGTGAGAGCTGTGAAAATGTGGAATAGACTCCCTCAGAAGTTGCTTCTGGCCAGCTCAGTGGATTGCTTTAAAAAAGGCCTGGATTCTTTCTTAGATAGACAGAATATAACTGGATACTAACATTTATAGGTAAAGTTGACTCAGGGAAAATCCAATTGCCTCTCTGGGGATCAGGAAGGAGTTTTTTTCCCAGCAGGAGCAAATTGAATTGTGCTTTGCTGGGTTTTTTTGCCTTCCTCTGGATCAACTGTGGTTACAGAATTATAACTTTTTTATAACTTTTTTCAGCCAGACCAACTATGTAACTATGTAACATAGGGAAGCAGTTTTCTTGAGCTTTTCAGACTTTTTTTTTTTTTTTTACATAAAAACACTTGAAAAACTCCTCAGTGTGAAAGTAGCCTTAGACATTGCACAAGAAAGAAAAAATAATTATCCATTAACCTAATCACCACCTGCTCACCTTCGGGGTAAGGAAGCAATATTCAAGATTAGCCAACAGTTGACTCCATATGCCCGTAGGTGAAGTACTGTATATACATATCAGTTGCTGTCCCGGTATTAGAATCTGTTGTAGAATCCACAATAATATAGATCAGGGTTCTGTCCAAGTAATTGTCAGAATAGATGGACCAGCTGCTCTCTCTTATATCTAGGTTTCCAGCTGTAGTGCTCAGTTTGCCTCGTAGCAGTCGTACAACGAAAAACATTTTAATGAATGATTGTGATATAGAAAAAAAGCTGTACAATATAGGATGATCTGCTTTTAATACTTGTTGGTCCCATGTTGACCTTGCAGGATTTTATGACAACCTATCATAGTCATAATTGGCTTTATCACCTTTTTTGTTTAATAACTTTTTATTGGGATTTTCATAGAATAAAATAATTACATGGGAAAATATACATACATAGCATATTTTAAAGTGTTACTAAACCCAGGACCCTGCATTCACTATATCTGGTCTTCCACAGTACACATAACATGGAAGTGCAATTATTTTAGTAAATATAATCTGCTAAATACCTTTTCTCATCAGCAGTACATAGCAGTCTTGTGACTTCTGTCAGTGTCCAGCAGAGCACTGGTTCAAGCTTGTAGGAGGAGTTTTCTTTCTGCTCTAGGAGGATGCAGTACCCCTAACCTCTGTCTGGACAGTGCTGATTGGCCCTGTTCTGATCACATGCACTCTCCCAAGAAAAAAAAAAAACCTCTCTAGTAAAACACACCAGACTAAGCATGTGCAGAGTGCCTCCACATGATATGTCTTTCAGGAGATAAGAGGGGGACACCAGAAGAAGGGGAGGATCAGAGAGGTCAGGATCAAACAGCATTTTTACACAATGCAGAGGATTAACCCCTTAGGTTCCACAGTGAGTATAACAAGCATGCTTTACTGCATATACAGACTTATTTTACTGTTGTGGGTTTAGTAACACGTTAACTATAATACAAAAGAGGAACATTTTGTCTCATGCTCAGTACTCATGTACAGTAACAGTAGCAAATAATATGAGATTATCTTACATAGAGATAACCAGGCTGAGCATTTTTCACTACTAGCTATAGTTCAAGGGATGTGGTAAAACTAAAGGGGAAAAGGAGATGGGAATAAATTACAGGTTGCCACACCAAATTTGGGTCACCAGAGGAGGGGATAAGTGTAGTGGGGAAGAATTGGTAGGGACAAGAAGAAAAAAAGGATGGGGGGGTGCATTGTGGAAAAAGGGGGAATGAGAGGGGAATTGTGCACTCTGGCTCCTTTTTCTTATTGGCTTCCTTACCCCTTCTGCGTTCACAAAGTCAATTGGTCAGGGCTAAAAGTGGGTGGTAAATAAAACTCAATCCATGATTCTATTAGAATTTTGCAGTTTAATCACCTTTAATGACAAGCAAAGAGCTTCACCTTCTCATGCAGTATGTCTATAGCCCTGTGTAAACTACAACTCCAGCAAATTGAAGCTTTCCTTTACTGTCCTGCTACCTGAACAGAGCAGTGGGGGAGTGAAAGAAATATAAGTGTGTGTGTGTGTGTGTGTGTGTGTGTGTGTGTGTAGGACCTGTTCACTTCTTTGCAATTTTAGGGGGGAGTAATCTCTGGAGAGACCTTGGGACCTCTTCACATCTTTGCAGTTTTAGGGGGAGTAATCTCTGGAGCAGGGGCGGACTGACAACTCATGGGGCCCCCGGGCAGTAAGGGATCATGGGGCCCCCGTGTCCTTGTCCAAACTCAAAAAAGCCTATGAAAAAGGTACCAGGGGTATCTCATGGGGCCCCCTATTGACCCCAGGCTCTCGGGCAGTGCCCAAGTTTCCAAATGGTCAATCCGCCCCTGCTCTGAAGAGACCTTGGGACCTGTCCACATCTTTGCAGTTTTAGGGGAGTATTCTCTGGGCAGTCCATAAGCCTCATTCACACCTTTGCAATTTAACAAGCCTGTTGGAATGCACCTCAGTGAACTGAACCATTTTTTCAGTGAAGAGGTAAATTGTAAGTCTCCATCCAAAGATATGCTATTAGAATTCATTTTATGCAATAAAGTAAAATGGTGCAGAGGACAACTTGGACCGTTGGATGTGTATAAAATGCAAGTACATCTAAAATAGATATTTCCCTTTATAAGTTATAAATGGAACTTGGAGGGATGCATCAGCCCTAGACATTTGATATGTCTTAGATATCCCAACTATGAGATTT